TCTGTGTTGTTTTAAGCCACTGAATTTGTGGTAATTTCTTATGGCCATAATAGGAGACTAATAAATACAATAATAGGAGAGATTAAAAAGGAGATATGTCTGGAGATAAAGTAGAAACTAAAAAAAAAAAAATTAGAAAATGTTAAGTACAATTTAAGCCAATAAATTTTAAAACTTTCAAAAGTAGAAATAATTTGAATGAAAAACATATACTACCAAAAGTAACTCAAGAAGAAATAGAAAAACTAAGTAGATTTATAATCATTAAAATTATTTGATAATTGGAAATGAAAATCACTAAAGATTCAGTAATACAAGGGAAATTTTTAACCTGCAGGTGCACCCACTACAAAATTAAAAACAAGACACATGCTGGATGCATCTGTAAATAATATAACCGGTACAATTTTAGAAATTAAGGTTAGATGGGGAACTCTTACATATAAATAAGAAAACATCCAAAATAAGAAAACATCCAAAATAAGAAGAGACAAGGATATAAAAAGGCAATTCAAAAAGAAGAAATAGGAATGGCCACTAAAAATGTAAAACATCAACTTCCACAGAACTCAAGGAAATCAAATTAAAATAAAGTATTGTTTCATTTCTACTAGATCAACAAAATCTAAAATGTCTGATAACATTAAATATTGGTAGGAATATATGGAGATGAAGCTATTACACTTTTCCAGATGAAAAAAAACACCACACAGAGAACTTAGGAGAACAATTTGCCTAAACTAGTTATGAATAGGCATATATCTAACAATCCAGCAATACAAATTTCTGATATCTACATTCAAGGTAGTCAATATGTAAACTAGGAGGCATTTACAAGGATGCTCCCTCCTTAAAAATAAGTGTAATCAATAGTGGAATGAAAAAATAGTGGTTTTGTCATACAATGGAAGTATTAGCTATTACAAGCAAAGAAGTGGTTCTGTACATATTTTCTTAGATAAATCTTACAAATAAAATGTTGGATGTAAAAGCAGAATGATACATACTGCATGGCACCGTTAATAAGAAATCTCAAAATACAAAATAATGCAGTATATTGTTTTGTAATACATACCTGTAAGGTTAAATTCTTTTTTTTTTTTTTTTTTTTTTTTTTTTTTTTTGAGACGGAGTCTCACTCTGTCGCCCAGGCTGGAGTGCAGTGGAGCGATCTCGGCTCACTGCAAGCTCAGTCTCCTCGATTCACGCCATTCTCGTCTCAGCCTTCGGAGTAGCTGGGACTACAGGCACCCGCCACCACGCTCAGCTAATTTTTTTTTTTTTTTTTTTTTTGTATTTTCAGTAGAGATGGGGTTTCACCGTGTTAGCTAGGATGGTCTGGATCTCCTGACCTCGTGATTTGCCCACCTCGGCCTCCCAAAATGCTGGGATTACAGGCGTGAGCCACAGCGCCCGGCCTGTAAGGGTTAAATTCTAAAAGACATGTGTGGAATCTTCCCAAGAGTGATTACAATCTTTAAAAGAGTAAACGGAACAAGGACTATTGTTCTAGCTTTGTCTGAAATGTTTGAGAAAATCTGAAATGTAGAGAGAGAGAGAATATTTTTAGAAAGCATAACAAAATTCATCATCTGTTTATCTGTTTATTCTCATCGCTGGATACAAAGGTGTCTGCTATATGACTTTCTGTACTTTTTCTCATGATAATTATTTCCTAAATTTAAAAAATAATTTTTAAATGGTTTACAACAACCACAGTTTTTACTATCTTCACCAGTCCACAGAATGGAGAATAGCACCTTCATTACCTACGATTTTGTCAGATGTATTTCTGGTAGGTCACTTAAATGGCAATAAAAAATCAATTGGAAAAAATCTCTAATTTATGAATAAAAGGATGTTCAACCTGAAATAAACAACCCGAGACTCTTTCCCCTGAACCACAATGCATACTGTTTCAATACATAAAAAGAGGAGGTGGAAACAAATCCAATTAGTTACCTCTTAGCAATGGGAGATGTGCCCACAAAATGTCAGCATTTTGTGAATATTAACTCCCCTGAGCTCTCAAAGTTTATTTTACTTCCTTTTCTAGCAGTTTGAAAAATCAAAGAAGAAATTGGAATAGTATTTATGTCTGATTAGAGTGGCTTTCATTGGACTGAAATATTGAAGAATAAAGTAGAATACAGTGCCTAGGTTGGAATTCGTGGTCAGCATGAGAGGAGGGCTGTTGTCAAGTACATGAGAGAGAGGAAGAATTGGGAAGAGCTGGGAGCCTCAACAGTGATTCTGTGGTTTCTTACAGATGTGAGTTTGGGGATTTCTACAAAGAACCGGGAAGAGTCTGAGGACAGTTTGCCGTAGAATAACTCAATTATTCCCATTGGGATTTCTTTATGGGGCAGTCCAACAAAAATACAGCTTTTGGAATTTGGTGCTTTGACATAGACTGCTTGATCAGATGAAGTTTCAGCATAAAGTGGAAAAGAATCTTCATTCTTTCAATGTCCAAAGAGGGAAATATTTTTATTTTGAAAATTTATACTATTAATAGTTTTGAATATTTTTACTGATAAAGCAGCATTTTGTGAGAGACTTTGTCTTCCTGATAACTATTAAAAATTATAGAATTGCACTAAAAAGTACACATGCACTCATGACAACAGCATGGCTAAAGATTTTAATTCAGAGCGCCCATTGATTCTCCCATCCTAGAACTTCTAATAAAAGTAAGCATAGAGTTCCAGTAGAAATAATAGGCCTTCGCTGCTACTCTTGACACTAGAATTCACAACTTGAGAAAATACTGAACTTGGGAGTCTTTTTTTTAAAATCTCATTTGTCTGAGCTGATGCTTTGCCATTGTGAAGTTGCCAGTTCCCTTGGTTTGATGTGTAAGTAGGAAGGACGGGAGGTGATGACTTCTGGTTTGTCTCCTGTGTCGAAGTCTAGGATTGGTGAGCAGCTTCACCTTAGACTCAGGTTGATAGTAAGTGAACAATCAAAACATGAATGAATATTTGCAATCAAAGCCATGATTCATAATAAATTGGTTTCAGATAAGCCCCTCAGATTTATCACAGATCAGTTTCCTAAACTTGGAAATTTTTATTTTTTTTTTTTTTTTTTTTTTTTTTTTTTTTTTTTTTTTTTTTTTTTTTTTTTTTTCATTTGCCTGATTATGGATTCCTCCCCCCCCCCCCCCCCCCCCTCCCCCCCCCCCCCCCCTAAATTTTAAGAGATTCCTTTCAATGACTTCCTTCCAAGTTATTACAGTGAACTCCTTCAATATTTTTTCATGCATGTCCTTTACCAGATATAATCCTTTGTCATTTGTTAATTAAGTTATAAGAAAGCGCAAAACAATGTTTAGGATAGAACCAATTTCCCCACCGAGGGGTTATCACAGCACATTAACACTTGACCCACCCAGAAACCACATTTCAGAGGCAGCTTCTATACAGAGCTGCGGGATCCTGCACCTATACTGTCAGGGTACAAAGCAGGGCTATTTCAACAGGAGGGAAATCCTGCCATCATACTGGTTCCCAGTCTACTGTGGGTATTAATGGTCTCCAGCTACTTAAGTGCAAATAATTGCAAACCAGAGCATGGCTACCTGTCGGCACTCAGAGGTGAAATGGACAGAGGATAAGATGTCTCAAACAATGAGAAACTCTTCCCTGCACCATTCAGTGATATGCTATTTTCACCTTTATAAAAGAACTGGAAATGTTTTAGAGACCTTCTCTGCACTTTCTTTCTTAGCTATCTCTTGGTCCCTTTATATTAATTCATCCATTAAGACAGTGAAACTAGGGGCTGGGTTCACACATAAAATCCCAGGACTTTGGGAAGCCAAGATAAGATCACTTGAGGCCAGGAGTTTGAGACCAGTCTGGGCAACGTAGAGAGACTCCATCTCTACAAAATGAAATAAAAAATTAGCCAGGCCTGGTAGCTCACAACTGGAGTCCTAGCCATTTGAGAGGCTGAAGTGACAAGATTACTTGAGCCTAGGAGTTCCAGGCTGCAATGAGTTATGACCGTGCCACTGCACTTCAGTCTGGGTGACAGAGAGAGATCCCAACTCTAAAATAAAAACTTTTCAATTTAAAATTTTAAAAAAGACAATGAAATCACATGGAGGATTAACATCTAAATTCCATACAATCACATAACAGAATATAAAAAATTCATCCACCAACTTCTGTGGTATTGACATGCACGAAGTTCTTGCAACCTTCAGATAACACGTTCTGTGGGAGTATATTATAGCATTGTATCACAGAGAGATCTTGTATGCTTATCATGACAAACAATATCTTATGCTTATCATTAAAATTTTTAAAGATGCCCAGCCACAGAATGTAACAAGTGAGACTGAATACTTTGGATCAATGGGATAGAAAATGTGATATCAGGACAATTCTAGGACACATGATCTAAGCAGTACAATTCTACTTGTGAAGGCAAGAGGACTGAATATCCTGATTCTCCTCAGTCTAGTAAATAAAACTTAGTGTCAGATTTTGAAATGATTACATTTTATTCCTATTATAATTTCATAAAAACGTAAACAACTGAGCAGCTTCTGAAAGTCAAGAAGGACTTATTTTTATCATTTGATTTTGAAGTAGCTTTACTTATTACAGAACTTAACTAGGGCCCTAGAACTCAGTAAGGAGGAAGAAAGAGATGCAGTAATTGTTTAGAATAGGACTGCCTTTCACAGAGAAAGTCAAATATCTGAGTATTTTTCTTTTAAATTTAATTCATTTCTGATGGCAAAAAGTAAATATATGCTAAATGAATATTATCAATGTATGTCAACTGGTTCAACTGCAGTTCCCCTCAGCTACAACCCTCAATACAAATTGCTTTTCTTATATCCGTTTTCTAGGTTCTGTCTATCCTAATGACTAGGGAAAGACAACTAGACAAAGTAAAGATTCAGGGTGAACCAGACACGTTTCCTCATTTGTGCATAGCCATGTAGTCTATGAACATGAGACTCAATTTCCTGTTTGGGGAGATAGCATCAGAACTCAGGAACTACGTATGCACACCACAGGGCCCTTGTGGGTACTGAACTTGGAGCGTCAGGCAGCACAACTCACATTTGTGCAGAGAGCTACATGCCACATGCTGTTCTCCAGCTTGCTGTGCATATTTGTGGCCTTCAGCTACTCTGGTATGGATGGTTCCAAATGTGGGTAAAAATGTTAAGGATGGAAGGATGATAGACAGACATGTGGTGTTTCTCATGGATTTGAAGAGGAAAGGAGAAATTGGAAAAAGGCGAGCATACTATGATTTTAGTTTGGTTTGTCTCTGGGTCCTAAATTAATCTAGTTCTTATGATTCACTATATCAAAGGATCAGCTCTGTTTTCTGATTTTTTCCCACAGGATCCAGCGTGGCCCAGAAGGTTACTCAAGCCCAGTCATCAGTATCCATGCCAGTAGGGAAAGCAGTCACCCTGAACTGCCAGTATGAAACAAGTTCGTGGTCATATTACCTTTTTTGGTACGAGCAACTTCCCGGCAAAGAGATGATTTTCCTTATTCGCCAGGGTTCTTCTGAACAGAATGCAAGAAATGGTCGCTATTCTGTCAACTTCAAGAAAGAAGCTAGCTCCATCGCCTTAACCATTTCAGCCTTACAGCTAGAAGACTCAGCAATGTACTTCTGTGCTCTCTGGGAACTCACAGTGTTTGAAGTGATAGTAAAAGCAAAACAAAAACCCTAGGGCTCGAAAAGAGAACCCTCTACTCCGCATCCTTTGCTACAGGAGCCGATTTGAAGTGCACACCTGCAGATCTCAGGCAAGAGAGGGTAGTGACTGTGGTCTGTGGATTTAATCTGTGGTCTGGATCAGATGAGTTAATTCTAAGTAAAACCTCCTTCTATCTCATTTGGAAACAGGTGTTCAGAGCAACTTTCTTCTAATACTTAAATTTTTACTGAAAATAGATCAGACGGAAAACGTGTAAAGTTGTCTAAAGTTGGAAACACTTCCACATAATAACTTAAAGTGGCAGTTTCACTTAACGATGCTCACAGCAGAAATATGGGTCTAGTTATCTTGAATCATAATAAAAATCATTTCCTTAGCCCTTTCCTCTTAGGCTTTATGTCAATTAGGGTACAATCAGGGAAGCAGAACCATCATGAAAGATGTAGAATAAGAGTAATTATAAGGATTAGACCTCATGCAATTGCTGGAGCTGGTGGTTCTCAGGAGTTACTTAGTTTTTTATGTTTTTATGAAATTATAACAGGAATAAAATGTAATATTTTCAAAATCTGACATTGAGTTTTATTTACTAGGCTGAAGAGGATCAGGATATTCATTCCTATTGCCTTCACAAGTAGAAGAGTACTTCTTAGATCATGTGTCCTAGAATTGTCCTGATATCACATTTCTATCCCATGGATCCAAAGTATTCAGTCTCATTTGTTAAATTCTGTGGCTGGGCATGTTTTTTATTTGTAATATACAGTCGGATAAGCATGCCAGATTTCTATGTGATACAATGCCATAATCTGCTCTTACTCCTATGCAAAGCTATTGTCTTTGCATCTAGTATTGAGCCTGAATTTACTCTAGGTCAGCTAGACTCACATTTGGGAAGGAGAGTTGAATGTGGACAAGAGCATGCAAAAACTGATTTGTAAAGACATTTTGGAACCCATGGTGACAGGTGGAACCCATGAGGACAAACTAAAACTTGTCTCTTACCTCCTTCAATCTCATAGTGTTGGTGACCTTCAGAAGAAATGGTGTTATTTGCTATCTTGTTCCCTGGGTGCTTGGCCCAAGAAAAAGAGAAGCTGAAAGAGGAGACCTGGGGGCAGTGGGGGAGTTGTGAATCAACAATAAGATGAGTTAGCAGATCAGTAGCAACACGTGTGGGTTGCCACCATTCCTGGAGCCTGGCACCTGTCTTGCACAATTTTTTTCAACTTAATAGAGAATAATATAGGGAAGGATTTTCTTAGAAATATATTTCCAGGTAGTTACGATGAGACAGTACGAAGTTACCACAATACCCCTACCTTGTAAACTTGACATCCGTATGCACCTCTTTTCATAACACTTAGCTTTCAAATAAAGACAATTTTAAAAAGCATGTTTCCTGTCAATATGATGCCACTATTCTTCACTCAACCACAAATACCCCGCTACCTCAAAGAGAATACAAAGTTTATTTATTCATCTTTGGGTAATGGTCTTTCCTCTTTTAGCTGAGTCACACTCTCCCATTGATATCCTGTAGTTTAGCTTCTGAAATTTAACAAGATATGTGATTAACTTATTAACATATCTTTCACTATTATGTATAGACATATGGGAGGAGAGTAAAAAATGGTTAACACGTATTTTAATATTTTCATATCACAATGGAAAGAAAATGTTTATAACAGTATAGTCTTTTTTATCCACAAATGGTCTCATGGTTGTAGCTGGTTTCCATAACTATCTCTTCCATTACCCATTTCATAATCTGTTTTCAGCAAGCACCTCCACTCACTGGTACACTTGACTTTCTGTAAAACAAGCTCCTTGGTCAGGAGCAATGCTATACAGAATGCCATAAAGTTGAGTAAGGAATTCTCTAAGTCCACCACTGTGGTTTTGCCCGAAGCACTGCAGATGTGGAAGGAAAGTCCATATTCGGAATGTCTAAGTGGAAAAAACAAAGCAAACTTGCCAGCAGCCAGAGAAAGTTGATATATCATGTTCTGGGAATATCTTTAAGAATGCTTGCTGAATTCTCATCAAAATCCACAGAAGCTAAAGAGGAAAAGTATTTTTAAAGTACTTATAAAACAAACAAACAAAAACCTCTCTAACTAGCTTCCCATGAACATAAAAGTCTAATTTTTAAACCCTTTGTCAAAAATCATTGTTAAAAAGGTGGAAAGTCAGTGCACAGATTGGGAAATTATATTTACATTGACATATTTCTGAAAAAGATTCAAATGCAGAATACATAAAAAACTTGTACAAGTCAGTAAGCAATGATAAAACAATACAAATGGCCAAAACTTGAAGAGACATTTCAGAAATATGATATCTAATAGTAATAAGCATACATAAAAAGCACTTAATATAATTACTCATTAGGAAAATGAAAATGAAACCCACTGAGTGATCCTCCTGTGCCCCTTCAGCACCCCAATTGTATTAATGTAGCCAGGAGGAAATGACCACGAGAGGATAATGAAAAATAGTGACTACTCCCAGGGGAAGAGATGGCCAAGTAGGTTTTCTAGAAACTTCTGTTAAATTAAGTTTAGCCTAAAGCTGCCTCCTGACTTATTTTAAGCTCAGGGCAAAGGTTTCTCCATACACAGTGCCCTGTAACCTAACAGGATGCGTAAACAGGCTACAGTCTGCTCTCTACAAATCCCTAAGTTTTGGCCATAGGTGGCCAACTGTTCAAATCACGTTCAAATAAGGCAAATGCCAAGCTTTAACCAATCCATCTGTTTCTGTACCTTCCTTTTTCTATAAGTCACTTTGCTTTTTCTGTCCAGAAATATTCTTTGACCATGTGGCAGTGCCAGAGTCTCTCTGAATCTGTTCTGGTCTGGTGGGGGGCTGCCTGAATCTCTAATTGTTCTTTGCTCAATTAAACTCCATAAAATTTAATTCGTCTAATTTAACCCTCCCATCATTGAACCACGTTCGACGTAAGAAGAAAAAGCAGTAACAGGCTCCAGACTGGAACACTGAAGGAAAAGCAGGTTTTACTAGGAAAGAAGAGAGTTGATATTCATTGGCCATACTATATGTCAGGCACTATTTATACATTTCAAATTCATTACCTAATTTAAGCATCGTACACCCTACGAGATAGGTTTTAATGTTCCAGTTTTTCATATTTGGGAAATGAGACACAACTTTTCCTAACTTTGAAAAGCATCTCTAACTAAAGTCAAGCAGGGTGTAACATCTTAAAGGGCTCCTATAAAGCAAAGTTTGGACTATGGAGAAGCAAACAGCCCCAAAGCAGCAGCATTGGCTTTCTCAGTGAGGATGACAAGATGCCAAACCTAGGCACAAATTGCCTCAGGATCAACAGATGGAGGAAATAATCGACTAAGCATTTAAGAGTGCTGAATGTCTCAGTGAGTCTCTTCTACAGTAGTGTGCTATGAAGCGCAAGAGGGTAGAGGGAAAGATGAGATACTATTCCTTAAACACTCCAAGCGGGCTTCCATATCAAGGCCTTTGCCCACTATGCCTGCAATGTTATACCCCCACCAGACTTCATGGTGTACCTCTGAACTCCTCTACGTCTTTACGCAAAGTTCGCCACCTTGTGAAGCCTTTATCGAAATCTTTCTATTATATTTTCCTTTTTTGAGAATCAGGCTCTAGCATATTCCACGCGTTGAGAACTAAAGCACCAAGTTCTGAAGCACTGCCACCTGGTGTCCCGCTAAACTGTTTGGTGAGGTTTATGTGGCCTTCCTGCTGCCCTCCAGTGTTCATGGGCTAAGCTATGGTGAAGCCTGGTTGCAACAGGAGCTAACATTTCTGAACCAATGTCAGTAACCTTCCCATTGTAGTGATCATGTGAGACAGGATTCAGCAGGACTGGCTGTGATTTTTTTTTTTTCATTTAAAAAATCTTTTTCCCTGAATATGTGAGGGTGATTGATTTCAAAGTGGCAAATATGATATATGGGCTGGTTTAGGCTAATAGAATACCTTGGCAACAAAGGTTGGCATTATTGCACAAGGTGGGAAGTTTTTCTCTATGAAGTGAGAGTTTGTCTACTGCCCTGTCCTTTACTGTAATATAGAAATATCCTAAGAAGTGAGAACAAGAGTCAATGATGGATAAAAATAAGCCATTGTAGGGAACACTGTATAGCATACTCTCTCCATGTTACCATATGCCTTCCAACCTCCCAATACAGCATCATATTGAGACTGATTTCCCGCTAACAGTAAGAAACGTGATAGAACATGGATATTTATTATAGTACATAAAATATGCTATGCAAATTACAAAATGCCCCTCGGAAAAATACTGAATTTTATCTTGTAGATAGACTGCACTGCAATTTCAGATGGTGCCTCCCAACTCCCATTGTTTTCTATATTGAATGCATCTGGTTGAGTGCTTAAGATACAGAAGTTATTGAACTAGATGATTATTCAGTTGGTGTAAAAGTAATTTCTGTTTTTTCCATTACTTATAATGTAGTGGCATAACCATTACATAGGCTTGGATTGGATTTCTGGACCTACCACTCATTGGTTGAATTATCTTAGCAAATTACTTAATAACTTTAATGCTTCAATTTCCTTATCCCTACAATGTGGATATTGATAGTACTTACTACAAAGGGTTATTTTGAGATATAAATAAAATGACAAATGCCAATGCTTAGCCCAGTACCAACAAAAAGCTACTGGTGACTTACAGAAAAGGAAATTGAATATGAGAGAGATTAAATGTCTTGCCTAGCATCACAAAGTGTCAGAGTTGAGCCTTCCCTCCATACCTTATTTAGAGCAGATTTCTTTTCTCAACCCAAGAATAACTCTCTAACTCATTACAGTGTTATGCTGTCTTTATAGAGCTTATCACTGTATAGAATTATCTTATTTTGTAAAAACTCATTTATTTAATTTCTTCTCACTGCACTCCAGCCCCTTTTCTATCTCTTCACTACCATGTTCTCCATGCCTGAAACAATGCCTAGCACACAGGAGACACACTCAATATATGTTTGCTGAATGAATGCACAAAAGGTAAAATTATGTCCAGAGTCCGTGCAATTCAAATATTAATATACAAGTTTAAGCTGGATTTATGTTTGTGTTATTTATCCAGAATTGTCAAGATTTCTGTCCCATAACTTTCTTAATGTAATATTTAAATATGTAAGTGCTAAATAGTTGAATACTAGCTTTGGTTTATCTACATTGGTTTATCTTTAAAGTTTGGGGGAATTAATAAATAATCTTACTAAAAATATTATCTATCAATCCCTCACTTTACTCACTGGGGAGATGAGGTGGAAAAAATTTTGAGGCATTTTTCTCTGTAGTGCGTGCATCTTATCTTTTATGTTGCAAAAGTTTTTCAGAGGACTCATGTGTATGTATATATTTTTATGTTTTAAAAAATTCTGTGCACACACACACACTCCTTGCATAAGAGTAGATATACAGGCCTACTATTTGCTCAAAACAGAGAAAGCAAATTGACCTTGTTTCCCTTTACTATCGGGTGAGTGCATTTAGAATCCTCCCTTGATATATTGGGCTGTTAAGAAT